GCGCACCCAGGGTGGGGCTGGCACTGCACCTGACGCCTGCACCTCACTCAGCAGGCTAAGCTTAGCCCGCTCAGCTGTCTCACTGGAACGAACATCTGTTTAACGATTATGTTCCCTTGATGAACTGTGTCATCACTAAGAAGCTGCCCTTCAGTCCCTCGCAACATTCTTTCCTGTGCAACCCACTGTGTGTGGTACTAACTCAGGCATTCCGGTTTCTTTTAATTAATATTACCGTGGCCCGCACTTTCCCATCTGCTTTATTTTAGTCTACCAGCACTTACCACATTATTTAAAGTAGTATCACCACAGGCAACATGTTGTTTGATCTTGTATTTCCACTCTGACATCTTAGACTTTTGTATGCTTATTTCATTTCATGTTATTAGTATGTTATACTATTAATATAAGTTATATTATTAATATAGATTCATTTGAACATAGTTTAAATCCACATTTGTTTCTATTTGTTTTATCTGTTCTTTGCTACCTCCTAACAGATCCTATCTTTGGATTTTACGAACTCAGCTATATTCATTTCGTGGTTGCTTAGCACGTGTGCAGTGCACCTCGAGCTCGAACAGCTTATTCTGTCCACTCATCTCCTACCTCAACCCACTGCTGTTTTTCTTTTTTTTAATTTGATACAGGGTCTCACTACACAGTTCAGACTTGTAGTGATCCTCCTGTCTCAGCCTCCCCAACACTGGGATTACAGGGGTGCACCACCATGCCCAGTTCCAGGGCCAGCAGGGTGCACGCAGGGATCTGGGGCCTACATGGCATGCGGTGCCAGGGATTGTACTCAGAGCCTTATGCTTGCCAGGCAGGCATTTATGCTGCCAAACTATCTCCCCAGCTATTGCCTCCCCATTGCTGTATAAAGATTGTTTTCACTACTAATTTTACCTTGGTGCTTTTCGTCCCCTAATATTTTTTTCAGATAGGTCTTTAAGCTTCTTGAATATGTGAATGTATATTTCAATATGCATTTTGAATACCTATTTAATAACTATAATCAATTTTGTTTTACTCAATTTAGAAAAATTTCAGTCATGTCGTCTCAAAATCCCTACTGCCCCTGGTCTGGTGACTCCAACCATATTCACACTAGGTCACCTACAGTTTCCCGCGGTTCACTGGTGTCCTGTTCACTGTGTATTCTTGCTCCCTGTGCTTCACTCCATAGTTTCTACTGTTGTGCCTTCATGGGCTCTTCCACAAAACACGTGTTGCTCATTCCATCCCATGTATTTTGCATCATTAAGGGTTTGATTTGGGCATTTACTACTTCCAGGCTCTACCTAATATGCTCAAGTTTCTTTCTAACTTCTTGAGACACCACATGTGGTTAAAATGGTTGTTTCAATACAGTTATTACCTCTCACTGTATCATTTCTAGGTCAGTTTCAAATGACTTGATTTTTTTTATATGGGTTGTATTCCGGTGTTTTGCAAGCTTTTTTTTTTTTTTTTTTGCAGAACCAGGGATTGAACTCAGGCCCTTGCACTTGCCAAAGAAGCGCTTATTCTACTGAGCCATCTCCCCGGCCTAAGCTGGTAAACTTTCAGTACACATACAATATTGCAAAATTTACTGTATTAGAGGATTGATTTGTTTAAAGTCACAAAAATATTCTTGAGCTTAGAATTCTTGATATTTTATTTATAAGCAATTTATTTAAAGTCATTTTTATATTTTGGTGACAGTGATCACAGAAATAATTATGTGTGACTACTGCTCCCTAGAGTTAGGTAACACCATTCTGAGTACTCTAACATCTTGAATTAATGACGTTTCAGCGAGCTTTATCTCACACCCTCTCTGAGCTCTGGGGACTGTTCTAATCCATTTGGGTAGTCTGTCCCTTGACCTGACACAGGTGTGGTATTTGGCCGGGCAGGTGTCTCGGTTTGTTCTTAGAGGAACTGAAGTCCCTGGAGGTTCAGCGCTGTCTCCTCTCACTATGGAAGCCTGCTGCAGTCTACCCGCATTTCTTCTTCTGTGCCGCAGCAGGTGCCACTGGAGAAACTTGCTGAGCTAGTTTGGTCTGTTTCCCCTTTTCTCGGGGCATACTATACTTTGCTGCCTGATAGGCAATGTCTTTAGAACTATATTTTGTCTAATTCGTTCAGTTATTTCTAAGAACAGGAAAGGTCTGTGATACTCGAACTTGGTTCGGTTCCTTTATTTAAAAATTGGTTTCATGTGCATCTTTCCCCAGCTCCTGCCATTTTCTCTGTACTTTCAGTTTTAGTATTATGCAAATTACACAAAATCTCAAATGTGATGTAGTAGGTCACTTTGGGGAGAAGGACAAAGAAGCAGAACATATTTAACTCAAAACCTTAGCACTGACATTTTTTTCCTCCTAAAATAGCAGTCAAACAAGCAAACCCACAGACTGGCATGTCAACCTGTTCCCAGCAAATGACTCATTAACATTATTTGAGTAGATTATGTAAATGTTGATCTAAAAAATAAAGTGCCAATATCCTGGACCAGCATTTTAAAAAAGGAAAATATAATCCTGCAAATGCTATTTTCCACAGTACCTTCGGTTTCCATGTCCCAGCTTCCCATCTTCGGCCTCACCCCAAGAGTACACCTCTCCTTCAGAGGAGAGGGCAAGGCAGTGCTTTCCTCCAGAGTTCACAGCCACCTTCTTGATGAACACATGCTGGATGGACTCCAGCAATGTTGGAGCAGACACTGACTCTGTCCCTCCAATCCCTAGTCTGCCACCAGCACCATAACCAGTGGCATATAGCTATAACGAGGGAGAGAAAAAAAAGCAACATCAGATTTCCATCTTAATACTCTTAGGTTTAACAATGAACAAAATCAGTATGCGCTCCAGCCTTCTTGGGGGACACGGGGCTATTAGGCACTGAACCAGAGGTGCTCTACACCAAGCTCTATCTCCAGCCCTGTCTAGTTTTCATTTTCAAAGAAGATATCATTAAGCTGCCCCAGCTGGCCTCAAAACTGCAATCCTCCTGTTCAGCCTCCCAAGTAGTTAACATTACAAGCATGTGCCACCACTTCCAACTTAGACACATTTTTACCACAGAGTGATTAAACTTAATTTTTTAAAAAGTCATGGGAAAATGTAAAACTTTGTACACTGCTATAATTTGGTTGAGTACCCGGCAGGATGGTACTACTGGATAGTAGTGAGGATTAGTGACATGTCCCTAAAACGACTTGTGGGATCACTGTTCTGCTGCTCTCTTCTTTTTTTTTTTTTTTTTTAATTTATTTATTTATTCATTTTTTTTGTGTGTGTGTGTGGCCAGTTCAGCCCACCAGGGGGTGGGGCTGGCTGGCATGTGGTGCTGGGGATTGAACCGAGGTCCCTGTGCTTTTGCTTAACTTAGCTTGTTCTTTAGACCACTGAGCCATCTCTCCAGCCCCTGCTCTCTTTTTCTTATTTCAGAAGGCAAACTCTAAGCAATGTGTGCCCCTGATTCTGGAGTGCGAAGATTTCATTTCCCATAGGTCTCTCCCCCCGCCTCTGGATTGGGAATGGAACTCAAGACCTTGCATTTGCTGGGCAAGCACTGTGCCACTGAGCTATATCCTCAGCCCCTGGAGTGCAACTTTCAGAACTGTGAGTTAATAAACGTTTTATCTTGTAAGTTAACTATCTCAGGAGTTTATCATTATAGTGTCAGAAAGCTGACATACGCATATGCTCTATAAAAACTCTGAAAATATAAGAAAAAATTATGCATTTCAAAAATACGGCCTTTTCTCTATAAGCTTTTTCAGTTTCTATAATAATAACTACAATTACTACCAAGAAAACTAAGATTTAATCATCTTCTACATGTAAATCCCTGAAACCCAAAGAAACATGCTATAGAAAAACTAAATATATTTTAATATTTCAGCAAGGCAGCACTTACACAGTAGAAAACCCTGTTTTCTCATTCTAAATGGGATGTTCGGGGACACAAAACATCTTTATTGTTAATTAGAGGGAATAAGAATCAGATTGCTATTTCTAAATGTATGGCATACAGGTAGCTTGACAGAAACTGAAGTACTACAGCAGACTGTTTTCCACAAATGTTGCTACACTGGCACAATAATAAAGAAAAGAAACTGCAAGGATTAACACAGGAAATTAAACCAAAACTCAGGTGGATACGGGAGTCCTGAGTCCAGCTTCCTATAGGAAGGTTTAGAAGATGTGCGGACCAAGAGTATGAGAATAAAGCACCACCCTCAAAGAACACCACAGAAAAGCACGATACCCTCAGTGTACAGTACTATGAATCAGAAATACATGACAAAGAAAGTCACTGTTGATAAACTTAGCACCAGGTAAGAGGAAATGAGTCTTCCTGGAGAATCCACAACCATAATCCTAACACTCAAGTTGGTTTAGGTCTGAACTTATACAATCTACGGACTATAATACACAGAAAATTTACAATAGTTTAGGTTGGCAATTAAAAGTCCCAGATTTATAAATTCTCTATGGATGAGTACTTTCAAATGTTGCCCCAAATAATTTCTATGTGAATTCCAGGTAAAATGGTAACCTAAATTAAAAATTTATACCATTGGCAAGAAGACATAGTAAGTGACAGCCAGCAGAGTATTATTATCTAAGGAGATAAAAGCTTCAAAGTATACCCAAGGACTACTAAGGATATAAAATAACCCAAAGTAAAGTTTCCAGAAACTAAAGGGATAACTGAAATCCAAAACTCAAATTATTAAAGAGCAAGTTATTAGAGAGCTGAAAGATCAATCTAAAGAAGGCTGGCCAAGTTGCTACTATGCTGTCTCTCAGGTAGATAGTTGTTCAAAGAGAAGGGGGTGGTAAATGAAAGCAAGAGACAGGAAAAGGAATATTGTGGGACTGTCCTGCTTCAAAGTTGTATATGGTTAGTTTTTTGGACTTATGTGTAAACATAAGAAGTATATAATTCTTTATGCCTATTTTTGAAATATATTCTAATTTTTAAATTTTTTTATCATATTCTGTAGGGACTTAAAGTTCAGCATATCAATACTTGAGGAAAAATACCTGTTCTATATTATGCCTAAGATGTTTGATATGCAGACAGATAGTGAGGTTAAGCTTAACAGCCTAAGTTGTATGGTAATAACAATAAGCTTGTCTTCTGGATGGTTCTAAGTTTGCAGACCAAAATTAGAGAAAAAGGAGGGCTGCAAGGAAAGCCAACATTTTGGCCCTAGCCTTCCAAGGTCAATTAAGACTCAGGACATATGAGAACTTGTACTGTAAAGTCATGCAACTCGGCAGTGTCCCAAATTTTCTGATCAAGGAGATTATGGGGCCAAAGAGGAAAGTGATCAATGATGTAGAGTGTGCCTAAGGAGAGTCACATGGAGAGAAAACATTCTCTCAGGCTTTCACAGAGAGCACATTGGCCAAGCAGTGGCCGTGACTCATCCACATGGCTGACACTGACAAAGGTTCTACAATCTGAGGTACAGGATCTCAAGAAAAATCCTGAGGGGATTTCACTGACCTTATCAGACCCAAAAGCTACAACTCTTGTTGCATAGGTCCTGCTTTACCTTGGTCTTAACCATCCAGCAGAAAAGTATAAAAATGAAATATAAGAAGTAAAGCCATGCTGTTATGTTGAGCTATAGGGGACTCAGGTGAACAATTTCTGACACTGCCAGTGAAGCAGAAGACCCAATATTATTATGGACTACTTTTGCTGAGTTTACATACCTATAATATTCAAATAACAGAACTTAACAAAAAAAAAGGGGATATAGATGAATGTCCATTTTATATTTATGTATTCAAAGTGGTTAGGATAGATATATAGTTACATTCTCTTCATGAATAGAGGGATTTGTTCTAATAGTGTTTGTAAATAGAATATCATATCCAAATCTTGTACAGTAATTAACCACTAGGAAGAAGGTATGCAATGTGTTATTGAAACTGTCCTACCAATTTGATTTGAAACTGTCTCATTGCTATTTGTTTCTCAATAAAATTATGGAGAAAAAAAAAAAGAAGGCTGGCCAGATAGCTTAGCAGATTACAGCGCCAGGGACCAGGGTTCAATCCCAGGGTGCACTGAAATGGCGATTGAGACTGGGCATGGTGCTGTGCACCTGTAAGCCCAGAGCTTGGGAGGCTGAAAACAGATCACTAGGAGTCTGATTTGTGTGGTGAGACCCTGTACTAAACACATAAAAAAAAGATCAATCTAAAGAAATTACCCAGCATATGTCAGAGAAAGACAAAGCCTAGAGGAAACATGAAACAAGTTCAGAGACACAAAGAAAAGACCTTACTTACTCGAAGATCAGTCACAAGTTAAGATCACACAGATTATGGAATAAGCTAGTATTTGAAAAAAATAATGTCTGAGAACCCATCAGAATTGCTAAAAAGATAAATTCTGAAAGCACCTTTGGCAAAAAATAAAAAAAGACTGGGAAAAATAAACAAGCTGATATCTAAATACATGCATGTACATACACACAGACTAGTGAAACTGCACATTATCAAAGGAGTTTAAAAGAAAGCAAATACTTTTCACTTGAGTAAACATTAGCCTGACTGTTGATATCCCATCAGTAACAATGAAAGCTAAAACAAAACAAATCCTTTAACAGATTAACTGAAAGTAATTGTCAACTGAATTACTTGATACATTATAACAGGGGTTAGCAAATTAGAGCACAGAGACAAAATCAGGCCCCTCATCTGTTTCTACAAATGAAAGTTCTAATGGAGACAGCCATGTCTACTCAGTCGCTGTCAGAGTTCCAAGACAACACATGGTCTGTAAAATGGAGAACACTATCATATCCTTTAGAAAGGTATCTGCAAATCCTACCCTAAAATGAGGGGAAAATAAAGGTATTTTCAAATATATAAAGAAAAACAGTCAGCGATTTAAAACAACAAAAGAACCTTACTAAAGGATATTGAAAGAGATATGCTGAAAAGATGAGGGAAAAATGGATACAGTTATGTAAGACAAGCAGTGAACAGACACATGTAGCCTCTGCGTAAATCCAGGGGGAAAATGGTCTCCATAAAATAGAGAGGGAATAGATCAGTGCCAAAGCACTGGATCAGTGTTTTCACTGTTTGTGAAGAAGGTAAAAAATGCTCATTACTTCAGATTGTAACTATGCACGTTAAAATGCCAGGGAAATTAACTAAAAGACACAAATTCTTCAGAGAACAGAAAAAGAAGAATACGCTTCAGCCCCTTTCCAAAGCTAAAACCACCCATCTTTGGCAGAAGTATGTCTCTACGTTATGGTTTGTGTCTAGTTGCCCCCCCAAAGCCTTATGCAATCATGGGGTGGACTTCTAGAGTTTGTGATTAACTCATGATTCAGTACTGGAATTAAGTGTGAGAGCTGCTGGGACTATGGGTGTGAGTGCTGGCCTGGCTGGGGCAGACAGCCCGAACACAACATAAGGGAGACAGACTTGCTCTCTGCTGCCATTGTTGCCACTGCTCCTCCCATTTGCTTTTGCTCTACTCTTTGCCGCTATCATGAAAGGTTGCTCTCTGCCATGTGCCACCCTGCCTTGGAGCCAGATGCGTAGACTGAAACCTCCACTGACTCTGAGCTAAATAAATCTTTCCTTCTTTCACTCTGGGTTTGAGGCATTTGTCCCAGCAATGAGAGAAGAGTATCTGAGACACTCTACCATAGTTCCCAATGATCCTCCTTCCCAGACCTACATGCCCCTCTCTGAAAGTGGGCTGCACCTTAAGAGTCGCTCCTGTGAGACGGAATATGGCAACAGTGGTGCAGTATCACTTCTGCTTAGAACATTCCTGGAGTTTCTGTCTCGCTATCACCTGTTCTTTCCCTCTCCTGTGCCTGCGCTAATAAAGGTACGTGCCATGTTAGGAGATGTTCTAACGGCTCACAGCAAAGCAAGAACTGACAGTGCATAAGAAACAGACTTCTACCCCGTACAGCCTTCGGACGATGACAGCCTGGTGAGAGCCTGGGCTGGTGGACCAACACATGCCAGCTCTGGAATACTGAGGCAGAAGAACTATCATATAATACATCTTTTAAAAGTTAAACAGACCAGACAAAGGTGTATATATAACACATGAACATTATATGAAGATGTCTCGCTCATGAATATGGATCTCCCCCAATCCTAATCAAAATATTCACAAATATAAACCAAAAATACATAAAACACTTTCTTTTATAAATTTTTTTGTGGGGAGGACCAAGAAGGGAACTCAGGTCCTTGTGCCTGCCAGGCAGGCGCTATGCGGCTGAGCTGTACCCTGGGCCTCATAAAGCACATCCTGATGAAACTGAGTTTATTCAAAGGAGGCAAGCTTGATTAACATGAGAAAAACCCTCACTAATTCACTATCTTAATCCACTAAGGGGGGCTGGTGAGATGGCTCAGTGGTCTAAAGCACCTACTTAGAACAAGCTTAGCAAAGCACAGGGACCTCGGTTCAATCCCCCAGCACCACATGCCAGCCAGCCCCGCCCCCTGGTGGGCTGAGCTGGCCACACACACACACACACACACACACACAAATAAATAAATTTTAAAAAATGTTTAAATAAATAAATATGCTGTGAATTTAAAAAAAAAAAAATCCACTAAGGGAGATCTGTAGTGAACATTTCAAATACTGCAGTATTTGACAAAAATCCACACCTCGTAAAAAAAAACAAGAATATTCCTATTCATCTATTATGAACAGAAATATCCTTCATCTAATAAAAAATGTGCAAAATGTCTCATCATTGTGATTTCTCCAGTATGAACCCAGACAAGAACATGCCCTAATCTCAAACCTGCCTTAGTTTATCTTCTGATTTCCAGCCAATGACTCATTTCCCTTCACCCACCCAAAAGGAAGAACACACAAGAATTAAACTAGATAAAAGAGAACAAAATTTATTTGCAGAGTATGACTCTTTATAATTATTTTTAAAATTAATGCACATTAGAAAGAAAACAGACGTAAAGTCCACATAAAACAGCAAGACTAATAAAGTGCATATAAAAACACCAGCTACTTCTACACATCAACCTGTGTGCTTTTTCAAAAGATAGCATTTACCAGAAAACCACTTTTTTAAAGTTTATTTATTTATTTATTTAGA